AGCATCGAAATGGATCCTAGATTAACGACTGCAGAAGTGGCCAACATTGGTGGGATGAGTCCGAAATTTGTTCAAAGGATTCTCCAATGATTGGGTTATTGTTGCAGAGCAGCTAGACGGAATCCCTTATTAAGACCTGCCAACATAGTCAGACGAAAGAAGTGGGCAAGTGATATGATGACCAAGCCTCTGGACTTTTGGAAGACCGTATTATTCTCAGACGAATCAAGATTCGCTCAATTTTCGGACAGTGGGAGGATATGGGTCTGGAGAATGCCTCACCAAGAGTTTTGGCTCAACAGATTGCAGTCAATTGTGAAGCATGGTGGTTTCAGCGTGATGGTTTGGGAAACTGTTTGAGTTGGTGGGAGATCGAGCTTAGTGGGGTGCGCTGGCAACATAAATTTTGCGAAATACGTCGAAATATTGGAGGAAGGACTCTTGCCACTTTATTCCTCGGGTTTCGTGGACAAGAACACAATGTTGTTCCAGGAAGATGAAGCACCGTGTCACACTGCTAGAAACACCCAAAAGTAGCAGGAAGAAAATGGTATCCAAATCTCCTGACATGAACCCCATCGAAAACCTCTGGGCCATACTCGACCGGCACGTCAAGAAACAACGAAAAACCAACTTCGAAGAGCGATCTACTCCAAGTTTTGTAGCAAGAGTGGGCGAAAATCCCACAATCTAAAATTGACGAGATGATTCTCACGATGCCCCAAAGGATCAACGAACTCCACGAAGCGAAAGGAAGATCTACTAGATATTAATTAAACTATAAATATATATCAATTCATGTGAATATGACTGAAAATTTAATTTTTTTCTAAAAAGGTGGTGTCTATTTACTTGTGACCACGCTGTGTGTAATTGTTGACACTGTCAGGGTGTCTGAAAACGTTTTCTTCAAGTTCTTTTTTTTTCTCAGAAAGATGAAAGTGTAATCTACATATCTTTTATAGCTCCTAATCTTGTGATTAAAGGTTTCCAATGCTTTGATTTCTAGAGATTCAATTACCAAACCTACTATAATTTTTGAAACTGGCGAGTTCATACCTGTACCATGAATTTGTTGTAATACTCTTTATTGTATTGGAACTGAATGACATCAAGACATAATCTTAATAGTGTCGTCCGTTGAGTTAAGGTCTACTCTTCGTCCCGTCTGGCTTTCGCAATTTCTAAGGTCAATTTGGTGGGAATGGATGTCAACAATCTTAAGACATCAAACGATATCGATTATTCGTCTTAATTTATTGGATATTGTTTGAAAATAACTTACGGCTTCAAAACTACTTATATTTGGTACTGAATAATACCAACTAAGATACGTAACAAACCTGTTAGGTTTACAAAGGTTATGTATGAGTGAAGTGATAAAAGTGATGATTGGTCGAAATAGGGGTTCCCTTTATGGAATTTTTGAAGGCTATACAGGCAGTGATTGTAGCCATTTGTTGATCTTATATAGAAATACAGATAGACTCTAAATGTTTTCTTTCGTTTAAGTCTAGCAATATATTTTCTAAGGAAGTTTGTATTCCTTGAAAATTTGTTGTAAACATTGAAAACTCTTAATAGTTCATTTGATTTAATATCAAAATATTTTTTATGTAGAATCATATCTGCTTCACTCTCCTCAACAGCCAATATTTGAATATCTTTACTGTTTTCCAGTTTATGGACAGTTCGATTTCCCTGTTTAGTTAAATAAAGTGTATTGTTTGAATATATCGCAGTGGTAGAGCCTAGCTGTACTTGATTCAAACTAAGGCTTTAGTTCTTTCTCAGTCTAAGATGAATTCGTTTGTGTTGTATGCTGGAGTATTGATATCATATGACATGCAGTTAGATGTTCCCTACTTGCAAAATCAGCTAAAAACAACTTAAATATCTTGTCAAATCGATGTATTTCAAACCCAATTAAATTTTGAACAGCTCTCCTAGAAAGTTGGTACTGATTTAAAAGTTAAGGCACAAAATTATTCTTGAGAAACGAAAAATAAATCTTAACCATTAGAGTGGCAGAACGTCAAGGAATCATATTAAAATGGGAGATCGCGAACACTTCAGAAGAGAGAGATATTTACTGTGTTCACTGGAGTTTCTTGTTCATAATCATTGAGATCTGCGATTCTTGAGTTGTAAAGAGACAACCTAACGTTTTATATTGAGTTTATTTCAATTTCAACACAAAAACACGTCTTCTTAACATTACCAGCGAATAAAATGATAGTGAAAACGATACATCATTTGACCTTAATAAAGATAGTTAATTATAACAACTGCAGCAAGTCTGTGTTTCACCTTCACAGTGTATGTCGATAAGAACATTTCTGTCTTAGACGAAAACTAACAGATTATGAAATGAGATGAAATAAGTAAAAGAACATTTACGGAAATAGGAAAGAGGCTTACGTTATATTAAAATAAAAACTATCTTATCTGTTAAGTCTAGTTACTGCCTTTAGTAATGTAATAATTTGACATATTGTTATGTTGGAAGTAAGTAATATCAGCTTATTGTTTACCTTGTTTGTTGGAAGTAAGTAACACCAGCTTATTGTTTACCTTCTTGAGTTGGAAGTGAATATTGTCAGCTTATTGCTTACCGTGTTATGTTGGAAGTAAGTAACACCAACTTATTGTTTACCTTGTTGTGTTGGAAGTACGTAACACCAACTTATTGTTTACCTTGTTGTGTTGGAAGTAC